CTTACTGTATCGACACACAGAGTCTACTTATTGTACCGACACACAAAGTCTACTTACTGTATCGACACACAAAGTACACTTACTTTACCGACACACAAAGTACACTTACTGTACCGACACACCAAGTCTACTTACTGTTACGACACACAAAATACACTTACTGTACCGACACACAAAGTACACTTACTGTACCGACACACAAAGTCTACTTACTGTACCGACACACAAAGTACACTTACTGTACCGACACACAAAGTACACTTACTGTACCGACACACAAAGTACACTTACTGTACCGACACACAAAGTACACTTACTGTACCGACACACAAAGTACACTTACTGTACCGACACACAAAGTACACTTACTGTACCGACACACAAAGTACACTTACTGTACCGACACACAAAGTACACTTACTGTACCGACACACAAAGTACACTTACTGTACCGACACACAAAGTACACTTACTGTACCGACACACAAAGTACACTTACTGTACCGACACACAAAGTACACTTACTGTACCGACACACAAAGTACACTTACTGTACCGACACACAAAGTACACTTACTGTACCGACACACAAAGTACACTTACTGTACCGACACACAAAGTACACTTACTGTACCGACACACAAAGTACACTTACTGTACCGACACACAAAGTCTACTTACTGTACCGACACACAAAGTCTACTTACTGTATCGACACACAGAGTCTACTTACTGTACCGACACACAAAGTCTACTTACTGTACCGACACACAAAGTCTACTTACTGTATCGACACACAGAGTCTACTTACTGTATCGACACACAAAGTCTACTTACTGTATCGACACACAGAGTCTACTTACTGTACCGACACACAAAGTCTACTTACTGTATCGACACACAGAGTCTACTTACTGTACCGACACACAAAGTCTACTTACTGTATCGACACACAGAGTCTACTTACTGTACCGACACACAAAGTCTACTTACTGTATCGACACACAGAGTCTACTTACTGTACCGACACACAAAGTCTACTTACTGTATCGACACACAGAGTCTACTTACTGTACCGACACACAAAGTCTACTTACTGTATCGACACACAGAGTCTACTTACTGTACCGACACACAAAGTCTACTTACTGTATCGACACACAGAGTCTACTTACTGTACCGACACACAAAGTCTACTTACTGTATCGACACACAGAGTCTACTTACTGTACCGACACACAAAGTCTACTTACTGTACCGACACACAAAGTCTACTTACTGTATCGACACACAGAGTCTACTTACTGTACCGACACACAAAGTCTACTTACTGTATCGACACACAGAGTCTACTTACTGTACCGACACACAAAGTCTACTTACTGTATCGACACACAGAGTCTACTTACTGTACCGACACACAAAGTCTACTTACTGTATCGACACACAGAGTCTACTTACTGTACCGACACACAAAGTCTACTTACTGTATCGACACACAGAGTCTACTTACTGTACCGACACACAAAGTCTACTTACTGTATCGACACACAGAGTCTACTTACTGTACCGACACACAAAGTCTACTTACTGTATCGACACACAGAGTCTACTTACTGTACCGACACACAAAGTCTACTTACTGTATCGACACACAGAGTCTACTTACTGTACCGACACACAAAGTCTACTTACTGTATCGACACACAGAGTCTACTTACTGTACCGACACACAAAGTCTACTTACTGTACCGACACACAAAGTCTACTTACTGTATCGACACACAGAGTCTACTTACTGTATCGACACACAAAGTCTACTTACTGTATCGACACACAGAGTCTACTTACTGTACCGACACACAAAGTCTACTTACTGTATCGACACACAGAGTCTACTTACTGTACCGACACACAAAGTCTACTTACTGTATCGACACACAGAGTCTACTTACTGTACCGACACACAAAGTCTACTTACTGTATCGACACACAGAGTCTACTTACTGTACCGACACACAAAGTCTACTTACTGTATCGACACACAGAGTCTACTTACTGTACCGACACACAAAGTCTACTTACTGTATCGACACACAGAGTCTACTTACTGTACCGACACACAAAGTCTACTTACTGTATCGACACACAGAGTCTACTTACTGTACCGACACACAAAGTCTACTTACTGTATCGACACACAGAGTCTACTTACTGTACCGACACACAAAGTCTACTTACTGTATCGACACACAGAGTCTACTTACTGTACCGACACACAAAGTCTACTTACTGTACCGACACACAGAGTCTACTTACTGTACCGACACACAAAGTCTACTTACTGTATCGACACACAGAGTCTACTTACTGTACCGACACACAAAGTCTACTTACTGTATCGACACACAGAGTCTACTTACTGTACCGACACACAAAGTCTACTTACTGTATCGACACACAGAGTCTACTTACTGTACCGACACACAAAGTCTACTTACTGTATCGACACACAGAGTCTACTTACTGTACCGACACACAAAGTCTACTTACTGTATCGACACACAGAGTCTACTTACTGTACCGACACACAAAGTCTACTTACTGTATCGACACACAGAGTCTACTTACTGTACCGACACACAAAGTCTACTTACTGTATCGACACACAGAGTCTACTTACTGTACCGACACACAAAGTCTACTTACTGTATCGACACACAGAGTCTACTTACTGTATCGACACACAAAATACACTTACTTTACCGACACACAAAGTACACTTACTGTACCGACACACAAAGTACACTTACTGTACCGACACATAAAGTACACTTACTATACCGACACACAAAGTACACTTACTGTACCGACACACAAAGTACACTTACTGTACCGACACACAAAGTCTACTAACTGTATCGACACACAGAGTCTACTTACTGTACCGACACACAAAGTCTAAAGACGGCCAAGCGACACACAAAATCTAAAGACGGCCAACCGACACACAAAGTCTATTTACGGTACCGACATACAAAACAAATAGGAAAGTTAGAGCAGTGAGCTTTAATATTAGTTAGCGATTTACCTTTCAATTATTTGCCTTTTAAAATCGTTCAATTCCCTTTAAACGTGACACAATTTCTTACTTATATAGAATACGTTCCATTGAAATTTTATAAATCCAGTATATAAACATGTACTACTGTTTAAGCTGATAGAGATATGATTATGATGGTTTTGTTAGCTTTATTAAGTAAAAAAAAACACCTGTATAAATAAGGTATACAACTGCTGTATCGTAAAATACTGTTTTTGTTGATGACCTCCTTGAATCCCCTCATCTTACACTGAAACCTTTTGAACACATCTAAAATGAAAGAAAAAAGTGTTATATATTAAATCATGATAGTCACAACTTCAATCAGACTTCCTGATTGACATTAAGGTACATTATTTGTAAGTTATCCTGAAAACTGTAAACATTTAATACATTTTGACTAAGTTCAATATTTGATGTTAAATTTGTTATGCATGTCTGTAACATTACCCTAGAACAAAGTCACAAACATTAGCGTTAAGCTAACAGTGCTGTCTACGAGCCAGAAAGGTAGATTGGTGATGTGTATTGACAAAACCAATCGATTTCTCGCTGGGCTCAGGTCTGTTGACTCTGGTAGATTACTGATCAATAACTACTCGACGGCCTCTACTCTATATATTGTTCCGCATGTGTTAGGTGACAACGACAAAATATAATGTGAGTTATATTTGGAATATGATTTTTTGAAGGTTCAACTACAGGTACTGACACTCAAGGTAGGCTAATTACCAATTAGTAATAAACATGTATCACGTACGACAGCTCTACAGTTGTTATGTGCTAGAAGATATGATAGAGTCAACAATAGCGCGAAAACGGATATATGTGTGTACGGGTAATGCATGTGTACGTGATAGTTTTGTTACGAAATATATTGCGAAGCATACATGCTTCTTATTGTGATGGTAAATGATGGTTTCTGGTGTTCGGGATGTATGATACAGATAATGAACAATAACTAACATTTCTACACGAAACGTGTACAGGCACGTTTACGTAATGTCATGGAAAATTCTTGTCAACAGTGTTGTTGCTATGACAACGTTTTGTGTTTGTTTCCTCTAGTGAATGGAATCTTACATTAGGTCTGCATTATCAGGGAGTATAATTATAAATATGGAGAAAATTAACCAAATCACTGAAATATGTCTGTTTATTCTTTGTTAACAAAGTACAGTGTATTTGTTTTCGCTCTTTGTATACATATGCATATATGGACGTGTCAGTGCTTGAACTCAGAAACACGTTTTTCGTAATTTTGTCTTAACATTAAAAAAATTCAGGTGACGAACTATTTTTATACCTCTTTAAGTAGGTAACCATACCTAGCGATTAAGCCTTGCTACATGTACATACTATACAAAATCTATATCAGGTGTACACACGGCCCCGAGTATACACAATATATGTACCTATATTTGGATAACAATTAGCTGTTAAAGAGAGAGTGAGACAAAACACGTGATCAGGCACATTTGACACGTGCTGTCTCGTAGCTGATTGGTTCTAACATAATTAGAAGTTACTGAACACAAAACGTAATTTTTGATTTAATAAAATTAAACTGATACATTGTCATTGATCGATTTGCATTATTGATCAATATAAAAGCATGGATTATGAAATTACATTTGTGCATGACCTTTCCAGACCCGGATAATTAAATGTACAGTGTATGTTGAATTTCATTCAGTCTTTTATATAGCTCACTGTTGTTGTAATACATTATTTAATGTCATGGGATTAAATCGAATGAATTATGGAATTACTGTACACTTGTTTGAATGTAATGAATATTGAAAAATACAATAACTACATTGCTTTGATGTCTCATCACCTGTGGATACTGAACAATTGAATCGCTTATATATATATATATATTTCATTTCTGCAGGAGGAAGACAACACAAGGGACTGCTGGTGGTAATTTGCCGACATCCAAGAATCACTAAGTGCCAAATTCAGCGATTATCATTTAGTGCCACAGATAACTTGTTTCTCAATCATGGAAGATCCGCGCGTGAAATTAGTGATTGACAGAAATTGGGAATTCCTACGACGTCATCTGGTTGTTACTGTCACCATGATTGACCGTCTGTACGAGGCCGGCATAATCAATGACTACACACGTCACTCGCTCATCGTAAGTTTACGTCACTTCCGATTATATTAACCTATAATTAATATACTGTAGGTTACAGAGATTGCACAGAAAAGATTCAAAACGAGTATATTTGTTGTATTCCGTTTTGATAAAACTATCTTAAGAGATTAGTGAGAATTCAGATACAATTGAAATGGGTTTGAGATTATTTCTATCGCACCTAAAAGACAACGATCCTCTTTGGCATATGTCTATTTGCTTTTGACTTAGCTAAAAAAGTTATTATGCATTACGAATTGGTAAGCCTTACAGCATTTTCACAATGTCTTTTTACTGCTGAATGTGTAAATTGAAAAATCTGTCTTCTCCATCCTGAACGTCTTATGTAACAGACAGAACATAATTAAGCCTTATGCTATGTTACATATTCGTTAGCCCCCTTCATTGTTGAATTACAGACATCCACACATTTACCATGCTAGTCCTTATAGTTGTTATGCACAGATAACCTTACCTTCGACCTTGTTAGTATTGTTGCATCAAAGAAACTTTAACTTTTTATATTGTATATTTCAGAAACAAACCGACCAAGCACAAATAGCCACGTTGCTAGGTGTATTGCGCAGTAGAAGCATGGAAGTGTTCCGAAAATTCGTCACTATCCTAAAGTTATGTAATGATGGATGGATTGCGGACTCTCTTTTGAACACACCGATCCAGGAAGCGTGGGGCAAAGGCCTCAGCAGGACCCACGGAATGGTGAAAACTATGCGGGAGTACGTCGACCTACCCATCTCTATGGATATTTCCAGATTAGCAGACGCGTACGTTGCTAAGACAGACGTGTTACCAGGCCTACAACACAGACGGGAAGTGGACCTCCTCACCGACAAATACGCAACCACTGCCCTTACCAGGCCTTACAGGTCAGATATGCAGCTCTCAACCTACCGTCCCTACGTACCGGCACCTCCAGCTAGGGTTAGCTCTCCCTATCTGTCGTCACACATATTACCCACTGAGTATCACCTTCCCTTGCGCAAATCCTTATCCTACTATGATAAGTACGCGTCAGATGATTTAGAGAGAGTTCCGCGTCACGTAGAAGAGGTCCATCGCGCCTTCGTGTCCCAGCGCCTGGGAGCTGATAAGGCTATGGCAGTCCTGAAACGGGAGGAGATCGATATGAAGACTGCTCTAGAAACCAACGTGAGAGACCAGGCAAAACTGTATCACAATCAGAGGCTGCTGTCCGAAATTGACCATCGACTTAAGCAGGTCGAGGTTGACGCCAGTCATTTGAACGTTAACTATATTGTAGATCCGGCCATCAGGACACCCTGGGCTTACAAAACCTACCGGTACTGAGACGTGCCTGTCGACTTCTCGGTATACTTGTTACGTGTGTATATCCGGTTGAGTTCTGATTTTGACTTTACAACGTAGTTTACAATAGAGGTCCGTGTACAATCCTAGTTTCGAAAATGTTCCCTAACGTAAGTAAACACTCTTCAACTTTTTTTCCATAGAAAGCATTTTTGGAGTTTAAAAACAAATCAGTTCAGGATTAAAAGAAATATTATCAATAAGTTATTATGGAAGTTAAGTTACGGAAGTAACTAACGTAAGGGAAAAGTCATGAAACTGGAGTCACGTTATTATCGTAACATACCGGGCATTTGACATGGTAAAAACGATCTGTTACATATAGGTTAACTCTTAACACTGTTGGTCTGTATAAATACAGATGTAGAAGGTAAACTTATTGGTAATTTGTTCACTAAACATTTCTCTATATCTATTTGTATATTGGGTTATATTATCGTAAGCATTTCCTCTTTGTTTAAGAACAACGTTAGGTGATTAATTTGTACCATGACATGTTAAAAATGAAATACTCTGAAAATGACAATTTTGTAATGATCAATATATATTGAATTACGTTCAAGAAACTTTGTTAGAGATCAATGTACAACATGTAACATATACTTTTTTTTTATTCCTAAGATATATTGGAATTCGATTTAATGTTATATGTTTTTATATACGTTACTCTTTAAATGTATCTGTATTTATATGAATGATTGGTATAAATTGTTACCAAATACGTTATAATATCTATATAGGTATGGAGCCTATAAATGTTCGCCACAACGGTATACATATTTTGTATCAATTAATTACGGTTAGATAGGAATTTCCGTCCGCAGTAAGCCATACATTGTATCAACAGTTCTGCATGCTCTATTTGTACAAATGCTATCAGTCTATCGTAATACCATTGTATAGAGTTATCTCCCTTGAAAGATTTCTGTTTATCAAAGTGCTATCGTAATATACGCTTCTATATAAATATAGTCTATGTCAGATTTTCTCCCTTGAAAGATTCTTATCATCGTTATTTTCTCGAACGAGATAATGCTGTTTTCATGATCTTTTTATCATTTAAAGTATCTCATTTCTTTAACTATTAACATAGTCCAGCTTAATATTCAATAATTATATTTTTGTAATTTAGAATTCTTTTCATTCGTTCCGTGTTTTTCATTTTAAACTGATGTGTTCATACAATGCCACATCAAAAGAAACGTTGTATTTGTAATACAATTGTTTTAAAATCATTGGAACTAACAACTAAAAAGTCAAATCGCAATATTAAGATAAAGGAATTACGACTATTATTTCATTATTTCAATGAAATGTGTATAATACATATACATGTGAATACATGTTATTATGAAACTAAAGATGAAAAACAAATTGTACCTTGACAAACGTAATATATTGAACAAAATCATCCCAAATATTAATGCGAACAGCACACCTTTTTCTATTGTTTCGATATAAATAATCTGCATCTAATGTGTTGTATAATTTGATATATTATTTAAAATTGTATAGATTTATAAGCAGGGCCCTTTTTTGACTAGCTATAAAAGTATAAGTAGCATGCTTTCAATCTACCTCAATCATCATGTAAACAGCCATCTTCTACCTAAAGTTTCACGTATAATCAAAAATACACAATGTATATCAAGGTGTTAGCGAAACTAAATTTCACCAAGTTAATAACGCCATCTTTAGCTAATATATTGTGAAAAGTAAAAAAAAAAAAAAAAAATGGAAGTCGTTATAAGATCTTTCAAATCAATTGCTGTAAATATAAAATTCTGATAAAAGAAATTATCATCAACCAGAAATGTCACATTGTTTTCCCGTTCGTGTGTATGAACACTTACCAAGAACAGAAGGGCAATGTTTGTGACATAAGAACGTGATTTCTCTTGATGAACATGAGTACAACGAAGAAAAATGACACCGGCGAAGCAGTTGTTCCCACTAAGATGTGAATATTAAAATATTACTGACTTGGCACAAATATCTATCGAAAATGGCATACATCTGCTTCTGTGCATTCCTACCTGGCATGCAGTTTTAGTTAATTATGCTTTTTTTTTTTTAAATATACAAGATAATGTTTGTTTTTTGTGTCTATTTGGTATATGATGAAACGAATCTTATATTGATGCTCATTTATCCATCAGTTCCTATTGTTCATAGCTCTAACATATCTAAAGACATTTGTTACTGTCCATACAACACACATCTTGTTATATTTTTCCTTGTATAAATAAAAATGTTCTCTATAAAAAATAGTTATGTGATTTTTCTCTTTGGAACACCGTTTTTCCGACCCCGATATATCTAGAAATTATCACTAGAAATATGAAACAAGGAAACATTTTAAAACAAATAAGTATATCGATAAAGAACTGAACCATTACTTCAGCAACAGGTGCCATTATGTTCAACACGAACCTACCAATGGTACACAAGCTATCTGTATAAAGGTAAATTTAGGTAAATATAGTCCTGCTGGCAACAATGTTGATGAAGGATGGCTGGCAATCCTGTCGCCGAGGAGTACGCACGTAGGGCCTCCTGGTGGCTATCATCGTAATAGTTTACATGCATAACGATAAATTTTACATTGGGTTATGCTTTCATATATGTATTGTCGTCATTCTCAGGTTGGAGACCAATCTGAAATATAAACGTTAAAGTGGTGAATCAAATTCATGAATGACCTCATTTTGACAAAACTACACATTTTATTCTGAAAAAAATCTTTTTTTTATTTACCTTATGTGATAATACTGAGAGTACCTTGTACTTTATCGGCTTCATATTTACAAAAAAACAACAACACTGAATTATCTGAGAGCATGTTAATGATTATTGAACATATATATGAAACTGTCTTCGAAAGTACGAAAATAAAAACCAAATAAAGTTTAACATTACACTTTACAGTCAATATTTTGTATGCTTCAATGTAGACGGTGTATATGAGTTTGCAGTGCTTTTGATATTTGGATGATATATGACATGCGATTGATTCGCGAAAGTTCTTTTTTATTCATGGACACATCTTCATCACTGCAATACAAATACACAATACATTTTACCGTTTATCACACACAGATACTTTTTGTCATAAGAACTATTATAGCATATACAACGAACCCTTGTACTACTAGCACAGAACGTCTAGGTCATAAGCACTTAATTATAAACACAATAAAGTTCTTGAGCACGAATAAAAATAATGATCAAATATTGGTACTTATATAGCATAGTCTTAAACATGTACTAATCCCACGTTGAGTCTAAAGAAATTTTACAACACACAAGTATCAAGCACAAAAATGATATACACAAAACATTCATCAATACAATAGAAAACAAAACGAAACAATTTATTTGACAAGCATTACTAAAAAGCGCCTTTTTACTCCATGTAAATTCTTAAATCCCTGATACAAAGTCCGATATATAATAACATACACATTTATCTGGCACTAGAAATGTATAGTTTGTCCCCATTGAAAGTCTATCGGTATTCTGTCGGAAATGTATTTCACTTAATTTGACGAAAAAATGGCCACTGATCGTGGGCGATTAAGGAAACAATCTACTGTATCATCGCCCCGCAATGGGACAGCATCAACCGTGCTACATGTCATCAAGGAGCAAATAAACTTTAGAGACGATAGCAGATGGAACGTAAATGATCTAAATAAGACAATTATATTAATTTTCCTCAATTGTATTGTAAATTGTACATTTTATTTGTTGAAATATCAGCCTTTTATTCCTGATGTACTTTACGAAATAATGAAACTGCATGAAAGTATGACCTAAATATGATCAAATCACAGTATATTGAAAATTAAATTATAATTCGGTTACATTGCAGTGCCATAGTATCACAATATCTACATATGCATATTTGTATATATTAAATTCAGTGTTACATTGCCTATATTTATCAAGCTCAAATCTGATCTATAAACGCTTTTCATTAAGAGCAAAAAGTGTTTAAACTACTTCATTAAGTCAGAGGAAATAGTGCTAATAAAAGTATTATGTTTAAGAAAATCATATCCACAATTTCATCATACCATCGTGCTGTGTAGCATTGTTAACTTGGTTTTATATTGCACGGATAGCATCAGATTTTTGTTTAAATCTCACAAATCTTATATCATATGTGTATGATATAGCATTGATGCTTCACTCATTAAAATGGAAAATATACGTCACAACACCGCCAGGAAATCAATAATCGTCTGTGTATTGTAGTTAGGTCCCATGGTTATTTCTACCTGTGTACAATTAGCGGCTATGTGCACACCTGTATGTGCACCCATGTAAAGACTACGACTCGTGTGTATAAATACAGACATTACATACTACTATCCTGTCTTGCTCGTCCAACCGTGATTTAGTCGGGTTACAAGGGTAAAACAATTGTCCAGACCCGGAAGTTCATGTGGAACATGAAACGACATTTTGTTCAGTGAGAAGCAGACGACAGAGTAAATAAAATGGCGGGTAATGATTCCACAGACAATTCGACAGTCTCCTGTTTGCTGTTTCCAACGACGCCAAGTTACTGTGTAAGTAAAAAATCTGTTATGGATTTGGGTATACCTATTTACAGGTGTTACTGTTTACGCTTTACTGATTACTGTATGAGGTTTAAACGGCACCGTACATTGTATATACATGTACACATGTGTGTTTTACTGACATTCTACAGATCGGTAATAGTACTTGAAAATACGTAGAGCGAATTGATACACTCCTTCTCAATTTCCCTTTTCCCATTGGAGTATTGGATCATGGACATTTTGTCTTTTGTAACAGTCAACATAATGGGAAGAGCCGAAAGAAAATGTTCATTTTCATGCTCCCTTTCACCCAAATACACGCTCATTGCATTCCAATACACTCACACATCATCATCACCCATATATCTTTATCATGACCTCATCATCATCATCATCATCATCATCATCATCATCATCATTATATGACATTCAAATCATCATTATAATCATCACTTTGGTTTGGTTTTATTTTGTTTAACATCCTATTAACAGCTAAGGTCATTTAAGGAATTGACATCAACGTTTTCCTTATTATTATTATCATCATCCTAGATTTACTATAAAACAACCATGTTTCAGTGACAGATCCAATGGGGTTATAATCAAATTTGCTTGTTTGATTGTTTGGTCATAACATTTTACCAACAGTTACTTTTGATAACAAATGAGGATGGTGTTCGCCTGTAATGCCGCTACTGATCAGGGTTCATTTTATAATAGTTACATTTTGGTTGTACATGTTATGTTCTGCTCTAAATAAACACACGGAAATGTTGTTTTAAGCATTTACGGAAGACATAAGCCACGTGAATTTATAATTAGATATTTCCGTAATTAATTCATTCTCACTTTCTGAAATTTAATTACTCGAAGCGTAAATACCGACAACAGAACGTGAGACTTCACCGATGAGTCCTTAAATGACACAGCTGTATAATTCGATGTAATTCATTGTTTGTATTACTGTATATAACCAGAGATTAACGGTGCAACCACCTCTGTGTGTGTTACGTTCATCTTTCAAGATACAATGTGGTAGACTCTGCTGGTTGAATAATTGAAAGCCACCGTCTTCTCTTTTGAGTAGTGGCAGGGGTAATGATACACAAACGTTACAGATTATTTGATCTGAATTTTAGCAGTACTCGCATAAATTTGAAATGCATAAATTAAGGGGTTTTACGCACTTGCCCTTCTGTTTCCACAGTGGTTTAGACAATTTCGTACTTTTTGGCCCCTAGCATCACCGGTGAGGTTTAGGAGGACGAACACATGTATGGTGCAGTGTAACTCAGATTTGCCATACTTGATCTATTACCAAATTTTAAAGTGCCGTCACCAGTGTGTGTGTAACGTTCATCTTTCGAAACACTAAACACTATAACGAGAGGGCAATTTTCAATACGACGACACTGAAGTGTAAAATAAGCATGCTTGAATGTTTTAGAGTCTTTTTTTGTACACCATTGTTGCTTCATCTGATGTTTTATAAAACGGTAAACATTTTGTTGCTAGGATATTCTGCTCTACACCAGAGGCATTGCCGGAGGTCTATCCCTCGTTGGAAGGTAATCTTTTATTAAAGTAACCTCTGTTTTGTTGGTAGACACGCTCTCTGTTACCGCCGATATGTCTATCATTATTATGTGATGTTCACACTTGTGGTCCTAATTGGGTAACTTAAAGTCTCTCTTGTCGCATTGAAACAGGATACATCAATATGTATTACCGCTACATGCATGTTTAGTCAAACTGGACTATTAGCTTAACAGATTGCGTTAAGTGTCAAATGTACCAGTGCATCAGTCTTCATAGTAAGTGTCCACACTGCCTAGCTTGTGGTAAAGGATAAACTCACTTTTTATTTGCATGGTTTAGTCAAGTTTGCATGAAATGATATCGCATATCCAGCTTGACCACTTGCTCATTATGGAACGAAAACTCGGTATTACTTATCCATGATAACATTTTACATATAAGTTGTTCAGAGAATGGTGTAAATCGGAGGTATTGCCAACCAGGTCTCGTCGTTATCAAACCTTTCCGTAGTTCTTCTAAATCTTGCTCAATATGACTTTTTTTTTTTAATTTTTGAAGACACCTTCAATAGGTTTGATTGGCAATGGAAATGCCAAATGCAGTAACTTCAAATGAATTAATCAAGTGTTGTGTTTATATCTCACAGTTCCTTTGTCCTGTCCATAACATGGCTGTTCCGAAAGTACACGGCGTTTGTCCAGGTATATAACTGTGTACACATCTGTATCTCATTACATATGTAATCATTTCCTTTAAATGACAATATTGTCATTCCATGCGAATTAACGATTTGTAGACTAATTACATAAAAATTAAAGTTTTCTCATTAGATTCAGCATATCAATCATAATACACCAAACATACAATTATTAAGGCAAAAACGTAATGTTATCAATGGATAAAAAGCAACGCAAACAAAAAACAAAAATCAAAAACAGCTGGAATAAGGACATGGTCTCTGTTTTCTATTCATTTCAGAGGATGATCGTGTATCTAAGCATTTCCGCTTTCTTTCACGCCATCTTCTTCATGATGGTAATTATAATGCTTTAGTTATCTTTCCAATATTTACATGTTCAGGAATGCTATTTTTATCATTTAAGCTGAGAAAGGTATATATTTTGGATACCTTAGATATCAATTACAACTCTTAACTCCGGAACTTATTTATTTTTAATTTTTTATTTGAGATTCTGGAATTAATTGCGGTCGTTAACTTTGATGTTTCTCTTGATTAAAGCAAATGTGAATTGTTAACCAATTGTTAAACGTTAATCAAACTACTAACAAAGCTCTCTTGCTGTACTTTTAACAGGGTGGTGTGTATCCCGTGGGCCCCATCTGTGTTTTTAAAGGCTTCTGGATTACATATTTCCGTAAGTATGTGAATAAAGTATCTTAAGCTAAAATATTTATGCTAGAATATCCACAAATATTTTCTTAATCAGCATGTTCATGCAACACATTGAATCATGAATGGTGACTTATCTACAAAAAATGAAAAGATAAAATACTTTGATTCTAGAATTTGCTGTTTTTTACAATTGTAACCGACGTACCTCTCTCTCAATAACGAAGGTAATTCTATACCCATCACAACCTGTGGTCATGCCTATGGTAAAATAGTGTCAAAACTCGTTACCATAAATAAACAGCAGTGCACATGTATTGTTTAACATAAAACGTAGATATATGATTTTTATACATTCTGTATAAGTGTTTTGAAGGAATATCTAGGGTTTGTTTTGTAAAGTTTCATTAGCAATAAAGTCGCAAACTTGTCATCAATCTGTATAGAGGTCATCATTAGTTTATTATATGTTTTACTAAGACTGTTATCGAGCTTAATCAGCTCAGATTATCAAAATGATTTTAATGAATTTCAAAAAGAAAATAAACAAATCATTAAGTGCGTTTTGTGTAAGAATATTTTTCCGATATTTAAAAACAAAATCAATAATAATATATAATCATAACTGGTTTAAGCTTATACTCCTCGTTCCATTTAACTATCGCTCCGTGACTTGTTACCCTTCGTTTTGTCCTCCAGACTGGGCAGTGCTGCTCTGGGACGTACACATTACGTGCAATCTGTATAGAAACGTCGTCAGGATGGAATCATCAGAGAGACTGGAAAAGTAAGTACGGGAAGATATAGTGTCCAGCTAAACGTTACACCGAGTCCATTTAATTGATATGTTTCATGACATGTGCAAAATTATGAAATGTTTGTTGTCGTTTTAAATCAATAAAAGCACATTGTTAACTCCTCCCTTAATCTTTTTTGATTCCTTTACTTTCTGTTTCCTTATAGAATATTCTGTTTGAACTGCTGGGGAATACCTCTAGTGATATCCCTGGTTCCTCTCATAGCTGGGCGTTATGGCCCTGCAGGAGCATGGTGGTATGTGATAAGGATTCTCATAAGCTTTTCTAATCTGTCAACTATGGTTTTTAAATCAAGGGAGATACTTCACGTCATCTTTCAACTGTCGGTGATATGTTTGAATGTTATTCTGAATTAATTCTTGTCTTTGGATCAGTGTACATTTAAAGTATGTATAATGTATCTCGACTGCTACTAGGGAAATCATGTTGTCAGTTGTGATAATTCATTACTTTATATGATACCGAATTCACTAATTTATTAATTAAGTGACACATCCTATACAACTTTCAGTAGGGCCTTTTTGAATCTGAAACACCATCATTACTCAGATGTGTTACTGGTAGGCGCTGTTTGGTGTTACACTTTAATAATGTTTATATATTATTAACCACTGCTTCTTCCTTTTTAACATTATATATTTACAGCTGGATTGTTGACGAATGGGATTTGGAGCGACTTTTTCTGTGAGTGTTATGTCTTAATATTGAAACAAATCGACAATACCTAAAAGCGGTTCGCGTAAAGCTTAAAATAGATACATGCGTTTGAAGCATATAGTAACATGCGTTTGAAGCATATAGTAACATGCGTTTGAAGCATATAGTAACATGCGTTTGAAGCATATAGTATCTTTAAAAGTTAAAGTGATGATCATCGGTCACCTTACTTGTTGTATCTAATCAGTGCATTGAAGCAAGTACCTACGATTGATATCGCAATAAGTAATACATTACTGCATGATTGAGGTGGTATATATACTCCTGCTGACATAGTAGTCTAGCGACTTTGTCCGTGCGAAAGCGAGACTACTGGCAGTGTTGACGCTTCTGTCATGAGCGGTCTTTAAGAGACACTTTGCCTAAATGAAGCATTCCTGTGGCCAATGAATGAATTAGCTCCCGTTGTACACAACACTTCACACGATGGTAGTGTAGCTGTCTAATGCTACATCCCCTTCTCCTTCAGCAGTCAGTTTTTGGGTTTGTATGTGTACAGTGCATAGTAACCGGATGTATGCATGCACAGAAATCTTCCCGAAACTGTCCATCACATATGAAGTATTCGTGAAGTATCGTCATTCCACAATTTCATTTGTTTACTAATGATTTATCGTTCTAACTTCAAGTAATTGACAATATCGTGTTTTCCTTTTTCAGTTGGTACATTCCGCTCTTTCTTGGTATATTTTTCATGATCGTGGTCTACCTGTATATAGTTTACACGCTGAACAGGAAGGTAGGAGGTATATTCTATATATTAGTACGTATAAGTAGATATCTGTCTTCCTTAATAGATGATTTGTTGGTGCATTCCTTAATGTAGTTCAAATATTAAGTGAATATTAACTTAGGTAAGAATCAGAGCTAGTTATTATTAGCAACGAAATCATTTAAAAAGACATTATCTCTTGTAAGAAAATAACAAAATTTTTTTAGTGTACTATTTGTTTGTAAATATGTAGTGACTCACACATATGCCAGCACTTAAATGAGATCGGTCTGGCTTCAATATTTTGCAATGAATTTTCCTTCCTTTTTTCTTAGCCGATTCATTTACTGACTGAATTATCCAACAGGCATCAACGTGGCATGGGACGTATGACCCGGATGTGGAACAGAAAAAGGCGCAATTGCGGAACGACATAACGGCTTTGCGTTTTTACCCACTGGTTTACTTACTGATAAATATTATACCACTTATTAACAGGTAATTATAACGATAGTTAAGTACTCTAAAGAGTAGCTATGATTTAGTATTCTATGTTTATATGATGAACCGGTTTTTCATTGCAAATTTACCCTGAATGTACATTTTGATATGTTTGTAAACGTAATGTCTTTTGCATATGATGTTTTGCCTGAATATATTTATTCATAGTAGATATCGGGATACGGTTGTATCAATATTCTTTCCAAATTTGTTTGTTTGTTTGTTTATGTTGAACAGCCCATCGACGGCTGTGGTCATTTAAGGTGATTTTTTTTCTCCAATTTAACGATACCTTAAATATCATATTATTAGTGGCACGGTTCATAATATACACACGTCAATCATCGTTAATTTGACATAAATCAGTACTCTACTACTTTGTGATCATCTAAGAGTTATTCGCTATTGGTAAACCTTAGCCAATGCTGAAAGGGATATATCAAATAAGGCATTAATTTATTAATTTAAATTACATACATAATATATGTCAATGGATAGCCCTAGTTTCCTCTGGCCCCGACACCAGACTTAGACTTTTGACAGATATATGTCTTGTGTGCGGCCAAAGCGATGCTTTATGAAAACGTGGAATTCTCCGACACCGTTTGGTATCGGGGAGCTATGAGGTGCTGACAACAAAAATCTACTATGACACAATACATACCTCACATATATCGATAAATGCATTATTTATTGATCCAAATCAGCTCTTATTATCACCAACAGCTGCAAAATTCCATCAGTAGTGTCCTCGATTTTCAATCGTTCAAAATTTCCCACCTGAGCGAGCGTCATTTTTGTAGGTCATTGGGTGAATAATCAACAAACCGTACTGATCTGGACAGAAAACGGAATATAATATTCTTGTTTAGAAGATTTCCAGGCCGCGTCTTTTTGTTGATTAGTCACTCCCCGATACCAAACGGTGTCGGAGAATTCCACGTTTTCATAAAGCAGTGCGCTCTGGCCCCACACCAGACATCTATCTGTCAAAATGTCTAAGTCTGGTGTCGGGGCCAGAGGAATCTCTGGCTAGTCAATGGTTTATTATTTACCCGAAACAATATATTAATTCAGTTAATTCAATAATAATAATAAATTGCATTTAATTCCTTATACGGAAAATATAGACTAGTATGTTATTGATGTCTTATTGAAAACATTATTCAAATATAAATGTTATATATAAACTACTTTTTTATTGAACAATCCCATTACTTGATATCAATAAGTTTACTAACAACACATGTTTACGGCAATTTGTTTTTGCATTCTATTTAAATACATAATGAAGTACATTATGAAAGCTACAGTTTTGTAATATACGCTATATTATTAATGCTATAAATACGATACTAACGTATTTTTCTTCAAAGGTGTCAAAAGTGTTCATTACTACTAAGTCTAATGTGGTGCAGGGGAAGCTCAACTTCTTTTTATAAAATGTTCATGTTTATGTCTTTTACTCTGTGCTAGTATTTGTGTATACGTGTGTCTCATCGTTTCCATGTTCCATGCCGGGTTAACTTTTATCTTTACGTTTTGTTATTTTTATATTGCATTTGTTTTTGTCGACCATATTTAAGGCCCTAATTATCTCTCTTGTGTTGATTTGCCGTTGAGCATGTAATATTAATAATAATATACGATAAAATATATATTATTCTTTGACAGGATACAAAATGCTATCCACGAGGACAAGCCTGTATTTGCTTTGATCCTCGGACAGTGTATCACAGCCCCCTTACAAGGTAAAGTATCCCCATTTATTTGTACATACAATGACTAGTTAAGGTTAATACATTTCTTACTCTCCACAAAAATATATTCTCATACACATTAAAATGCTCTATTCCTCTAGTTATGTAGTTATCTTATCTTGCTACAAAAAGCTCAAATAAATTCCGATAAATATATACACAACTCAACTAATTGTGATTGTGTCTCTTTCTTAAAATGTATTTTTTTCTTTAAATGTTACACGTCTGAAACGTCAAGCCTGCTTAACAATCCGATGATTTTTCGGTACTTTACTATATGTAGCAAAGAAACATAATAAGGGGGATAACTCTTAAAGGGTAAACGGTAACACATTTCCTCTATACACGCGCTTATGTAGAATATCAGGAATTGTGTAACTCGTAGTTCATTTCATCTTAAAATTTTATATCAACATATCACACATCTTTACTGGACACATTCTTATCAAGATATACATTCGATATAGTTGGAAAACATTTTTTCTGGCGATGTTTCTTAACAATTTTCTATTGCAAATTTAAGTAAAAACAAAAATAACAGTTGCATGTAAAAATGCAAAGAACATCGCAGAAATTGTAAGCAAATGTATTCAACATTAAACTATATGGACTAGATGATTTGATAATTTTAAAACAATCCAGTGTACATTTATTTTCTCAACATTAACATTCACTAAGCCATTGCTTGTGTGCTGCCTACAGCTGAGTAGATTTTTTGCACGTGTATATTTTCCATTCTAGGTGCAATAAATGCAATGATTTTTGGTGCTGACAAGGACACAATAAGTCAACTTACCTGGTCTGGTATAAAGGTGAGGTTATATTTTGATCAAGATACTGCGATAATCCCTGTTGATAAAAAATTTTAGGAGTCAGTTTTTTAATATTAAGGTTAAGGTACATACTAAGTTTTTAATTTTCTACTTACAGATGGCTTTTCAATCAAGATTTAAAAAAAAGGCTTTAATAAAAGAATACGTGATAGAAGAGGAAATTACTGTTTCTCCACCAGCTGGCAGCACAAACAATTCTATAGAAATCATGGATACCCATATATGACGTCAATGACAATACATCAGAGTCTTTAATGCGCATATATGATTCTAAAATTAACACTATAGAAGTCGTGACACTCATCTATTTTATTATGCCTCTAGTGAAAATCCTGTTATATGATTGGTCGGGAAAATTGTTCTTTTAACACTGTCACATTCACTTTAACATTGAGTCGGATATGATGTCACCCTCATGTGACAGTGATACCCTTTGAGTGACCCTAGGCACTTTCACACTCTAATGAATGAAGTATTTATATAATACATTGTAGCACAGCCATATAGTATATATACTCGACACTATAATCGTCATGGACGCACATATTTGACCAATACTTTAGAAGTCATGAGCACTCGTAAAAGATACTACAGCCAGCACTACAGACGTCGTGGACGCTCAAATGTGTTAGAACAGCCAACACTGTAAACGTCGTAGACGTTCATATCTGACAGAAGAACCAACACTATAACTTTACAGCTCCTGAACACTCATATGATCTGCGGCAACGCTATACCCGTCATGTGGGCACCAATAACTGACCGCACTGGCAACATCGTATACACGTAGGTCATTTGCACTCGTATATGTTAATAGTTTTATCCATTGCGCTGTAGTCAGTATTACATGTATCAATTGATATTGAAGGAGTATCACTAGAATAGGTATTTTTTGGACGCGATGTCTCACACATTGGTGCTTAAATCTCTTTCTACGTATGTACATTAGTTTGAGTATCACTATTTTTAGTTATCGAATGCTTTTTATACCAATAGACAGGGTACCTCCATAGCGGTAGTGATAAGCATACCTTGTATTATCATTGTTCGATAAAGGTGCGGCATTATGGTACTCATATAATTCCAGTATTTCTTTGACCCAGATGACAACAGGAATCTAACCAAATGAAAAATTCAGTGGTTATGTAAATTAGTCATTTTGAAGTGTATTTAATAAAGTGGTAGGCATTTATTTATTGATATATTGCCTTTATGAGCTTAGTAAACTCAGACCGAGTATAAAGCAGCGTGTAAGTAATGAACAAAAGGTAACGGCTGCTTGATACATGTTTAAAATTATGTTTCGGCGAGATAACGGAGCGATGATAGCCAATGCTTGGCTCCTTCAAAATCTAAAAACATGGAACATATTCGGATATCACAAAATCTAATACTGCAACAACTGGATGGTTGCAATGTTCTTATTCCATAGATGTATATTAAAGTTTCCGTGTGCATAATGGAAACAATGGCAGCGTGGTTCTGGTACATTCGGCCACGTTACTAACGGATAAGTGTGTCGAATAAGAAATATGTTCGAAGGCCTCCTACTGAGATTGACAATTGAAAGGTGTAAAGTATATTGTCCTAGCAACCATATATATTGTTTAGGTAGCATTGTAGCAACCAACTCGGACTGTGGCAACGGACATATCTACAACGGTTTCATATGAAATGTTCGTTGCCAACTGCATTCATTTTACCGTATACACCGTCCAAATGAATGTCAGCCATTATCCATAGCGAACTTTCTAACGTTATATTATTCTTACCAAAGTCAACGAGAAAGGTCTATCACACCAGTATTATTGTTGCATATGTATGTTATTCAGATTATCTGTATGCTATGCAAATATTGGGTACGTTAAAGGTAATATATTATTTAGTCTTATTAGATGTGAATGTATCGTTGAAAGTTGAGACAACCTTATCAGTGGACCGTTCAGTTACCTGTCATGTCTCAGGTGCAATACATGATCCGTATAAACGAATCACTTGACTCAATTTCGACACCTTTGAGAAAACAGGAAAAAGCATTAAAACATGCAATCATATTACATTGCTAAAATATTTCTTTACTTATACAGTCATACGTAGAGGTGATCGCAGTATGTGTATTCGTCTCTCATATTTTATGTATCCCATGCATCAGTGGAATATAATTGAATATAAAAATAAAAACGCACATTGCCGTCAAATAACAAGGATGCAATAAGGCAATTATAGGAACTGAAACTGAAACAAGAACATCAAAACAGAAATCACAGAGGGAAGAAAACCAGAAAAGAAAATGCACTCCTAGGTTTTCTGAAAAGAATAGTTATCCTTTGTATTTGCTATAAAAATATGTTTACATATACTCATCATACATGATGTTATATATTACGGCAAATACATTCTGCTGATGAATAACTTGAAAAAGCTTCTCAACCTAGAAAATCACAATGAACCATGCATAATCTTTATAATGTATGTAATGTATACATTGATATATATCTGTGCATATATATCATACATGCATATATGAATACTAAATGAAGAATGCAAATTAAATGTCCAGTTCAAAAATGCCCCTTTATTCATTTGACATTAAGTACAGTAAGCAACTGGTCGGCCCTTAATGTACAAACTTGCCATAATGATGTAGTGAAATGTTTGCTTTGTTTGGTTTTTTGCATCAACATACTACATGCAAATGATTAAATAGGTGTTTACTAACTTAGTTTTTAATGTTATTATTCGTTATTTATTCATTTTTATATACTTGATGATTTTTCGCAATCTTTACATATGACAAATTCTCAAAAACTCATGTAGACCGATTTCCGGTGAATGTCGATTTCTGAAAGTAGCCTTTTGGTAAGTCCCTCACATTTTTACTGCTTATAAGCAATTGCTTAATATTTTATTATTTAAAGGCTTGTTAAATGTTAATCATCTTATAAAAATTGTATTGTATTGGTGTGCGGATTTTTTTCTCTAAGTCAAGATGTAAGATTTAAAAACTGAAATAAGTCCTGGCATAAAAGCTCACATAAAACATCTTGCATTGCTGAAGCATGTAATAAAAGAGTTATGGACATTTTGTAGGCGGTCAACATGATGTGACATGAACCTAAAAAGTGATATTAATTTAACATTTAACTTTTTGCAAGTTCATATTACATCATATTTTCTTTCATAAAAGTCAATTGCATAATAATTTATTATGCGATGATGGGTAATAACACGAGCTGTATTTTCTCCATATTTAAGACACGCCATAATACTGTCACAGATATACATACAATCTGTCTCTATCTCAAGAAAGCTTCTGACAACTAAGCATCGATGTATTCAAGAAAGAAATTTATATCTATAGTAATTTGACACTCCTTTTTGACCATTGTTTATGTTTTGTATAATCCATTTTCGTAAATAATAAATAATTATTCAAAAATATTTATTAAACCTGGTCAGAATGAACACTGCTCTTTTAAAGTTAACGAACTAATCATTATAAGACAACAATGTATATTAACACATTTAATAGCAGCAAAGTTCCATTAAGTATCATGCTTTAAGATTGTACAGAGAAACGAGGCAAACCAAAAGTTAGATTGGGGATATTTTTCTTCCGCAACGCTCAAATGTTATATAAAAATGCTTTTCTATAGAAAACATTATTCCTTCGTTTCAGTTGAAAACAATTCCCCATAAAGTTAAGTTTGTTTTGGTTTAGTACGTTATATGGTGTTAATGTCCCTAAAAGGTAATGCATTCCTGATTCTGTCCTTAACGTATACATGTTTGTGTGCAACAAATTGTTTTCAGAAAATGTTAACAAGTACGTTTTAAATAATGTCGTGAATCGAGTAATCATATGGAGTTACCTGATAGTCTGTGACCGTCGAAAATCGGCGGTAACAGGGAGCGGCGCAGGACAGGGTTCAGGGACGTCTCTGCAGCTCTGTGTCTCAGGTGTATCTCATCGGCTGTCACCGACGTGGCTCCCAGGGTGAGCATAGAAGGTTCCCAAAGGGCCCTTTCGGTACTCGGGAGCTGACCGGCTCACCACACTCCTCCCGTTTACTAGAAGCTGTCCATAGTTATTATTAAATAAACACATTATCAATGGCCATTCTAAAAATCGCCATTGCGGCAGGGACAGTTACAAACACAAAGCAGCCAAACAAGCATCAGTATATACAGATGGATATATACATTATACACAAATATGTTCAGATTATTTCCTCGACATCTACCAACTTCACAGATTGTACAATTCCCTATCATTCCGATTTGTTGTGGAAGTCACAATACACCCATCATCCTGGCCATACATTCAACTATGGAGATAACCTGCAGGAGCGATCCCAATCCTCCATCATGAGGTAGGTAGGGGGCGTCTGTCTCTATAATAATCCTTCTCAAAGAGAGATGGCTGAAGAGAGACTTATATCGCTCCCTATTCCTTTCCCTCAGTACTTATGGGTAAATGCCAAACTTGTTGTTTGGGAATCTTTCCTTCCAGGACTTAAGCTCTTGGGGACTTCCGTCAAAACAGTGCCTATGAATCCTGTAATCCGTGGGGAGGTTCTGAGGTAAGTCATCTAGGCAGATATCGCTGGCAGTTTCCCCTCGACAGTGTTTTACCAGGGGCAAGTTGGATTTGACCGCTAGCTCTATTTGTCTCTTGACTATATATTCCTGTTGAGGCAGTCTCCCCATTTCATTAAAGGTTTTGATTCCGCATTCTCCCACAGCCACTACACTCTTAGCAATAACTAGGGATGACAGATCTCTGCACAGTTTCTCGCACTGTCGTTGAAATTTTAACTATACGCTATTTGTTGACACTTAGCATAATTTGAATTTGCTTGTACATGCTCAATTATAGAATTTAATGACCTGAATCTCAAATGCCTTTCAATTTCCCTTATAATTCCATTCATCAACTCACCCACTGATTGTCTTCTAGGTCGCACTTTGTCTCATTCCCTTTATTGAAATCTTGGACATGTATCCTCTTTATTTTCACCTGGCCAAATTGTATCTTACAAAGGCTGCATGCAAACCATGGCAGATGTGTTCGCAGCACATGTCTACGCGGATGCGAGAACCGGCCTGGGCAGACTGGACACTCTCTTCCCTCTCTTCCCCAGTCGCGCATGGAATCGGTAGCTTATTCTCGACATCCTGATCCGGTCCATATCTTTATATACATATCTATATATATACATGTTTAGTAGCAAATCATAACAGGAAATCTAAAAACACTATACTATATACAATTTATATCAATTATTAACATGACATATATATACACAAGTGCCCATGTCTATTTCCCTCCTCAAGAAGCAGTATACAGCAGAGGGTTGTGGCCATGGGTGAGATTTGTGTTAAATGGCTAACCCCTGTATAATGATATGTAAAAACAATATATAAAAAATAACTGTACTAAAATTGGTATAAGCATGATGAAGTGGGCTATGTGAGCTTCACATTTGTAGAGATTTTTTTTGGTTCGAGAATAAAATAAAATTAATAATCCGAAAGGGTGCCTACACATGAAAAGCTAGCTTTACAGAAGGTAATATTTTGACAACAGCACACGAAGCAAAATTGCGAAAATTCAAGTTTTACAACTTTACTTGGACCCAGATAATTCTGCAACCAGGTAGGTAATCTTTAATTTCAGACAGAACTTAGGGAAAAAAAATACTATAGGGGGGGGTTTTGTCAAATTTTGGGTAAAAAAAATTGTATTTTTTTGGCATTTTTTGGTAATTTTTGATGTGGTAACCACGGTTTTCACACAATTGACATACATAGAAAAAAGAGGTTTATACACTTCTCAGTACTTTATATGTATTGTAAATGTAATGCAGTTTACAAATATATATACATGTATACATGTGTTGTGTAGGGTAAATCCGCTGTCTTTACATTTCCTCGACATGTGCCTTGTTATCAGAGTCGGGCCATTTCTACTGTATACTGCTTCCTCAGTCTTGCACATAATCCCTGAGGTACTGAGGCCTTCGACAATGTCGTCTGTTTGGTCTCTCTGCGGGCTCCTCCTCATCCAGCTGATAAGTGAATGTGTCATCAGTATCCTGTCGACGATAGTTCTCCCTGTGGATGTCAGAGAAGGATTCACAGCCAGCGTGCCCGTCTGTGTACTCGCTTCAAACAACACAGAGAGATCTGGCACATCCGCGTCATCCTCAATGTCTGCTGTTGATTCCTCTGCTACGGAGATCAGTCGATTCCGCATTCGTTTAAACCAAACAGGGTATATGTCGCCGTTGTAAAGCTTCAACCTATCATGATGGACTATCATCTCCTTTTTCATGCCTTTGATTCTAAACAACACCGGTGACTTCACTTTAACCACCAGGAATGGTCCCTTCCAGGGTTGCTGCAGCTTTGGGCTACGTCCAACTTTAGAAGCAGTATCCAGCTTGAATACAACATCCGCAATGTCATAATGACGTTGATGCGCCTTGACGTCATAGACCGGTTTTTGTCGAAATTGGGCTTCCCCGCAGATGTTCCCGAGCAATCATATGTGCTATCTGTCCTTGTTCAATTACTCCGCTGACATAGTCTGAAGTGGTACGGATGCTTTTGCCTTCTGTTACAGTTCCAAGCATCAGATCAATTGGCTGATTGACCTCTCTCCCAGGCATCATCAGATTTTGGGAAAAGCCAGTCTGTCGATGATGTGTGGCTCTTATAGCACCCGCGATCTGTTGATGGTCCCACTCTTGGTGTTTCTGGAGATAAATCCGAATCATCTGCAACAGTAGCCGATTGTACCATTCGAAAAAGGCCTGTAAGGTGTTTCCCTAGTCTTTCAAACTTCTAATACATCACAGAGGTGCCCTGCCACATTCCCGTCCACATTCCGTCCCTGGTCTGTGTGTAACTCCAGAGGACAGCCATCCACTAACACCCTTACGATTGTCTCAGTACTTTGGTCCGGATTAGGGTGACATTCCACCCACTTTGGAAACTGATCCACGATCACAAGGATGTATTTATTTCCTGCTTTCGACACTGGTAATGGCCCGAAAATATCCATATGTACACACGCTCCATTGGAACCCCAGCATGGTATTGTCCAAGTTCCGACCTTGGCTTCACGTCCACCTTTTTAGTTAGGTTGCAGACCCTGCAAGATGCCACATGCAGTTTGCATGACTGGTTCATACCATACCAGATAGTTCGCCTTTACACTCCCTCCAAGGTCTTGGCCTGCCCAAAGTGACCTGCCGATATATGATCATGACCTAACTTGAGTATTGCTGGCTGCAAACTTATCGAAGCCATAAACAGGAGTCTTGTTGACATCGGATCCTCCCAAACATAGTACAAAATATTATGCGGTACACGTAATTGGCGACCACCAATGTCTTGTTCCCCGACTCGTCATTTGGAGATCTCACTCTGATGGCATGACGGCATTACCCAACCAAGCCGGAATTCTCCCCAAGTCTGGGTCTTGATGTTATGCATCAGTAAGGTCTTTCCCGGACCATGCTTCCAATCAGTTTGCGTGTGCACCCAATCCCATCCCCGCCGAATTTGAAGTTTACAGTATATGCTCCCCTCCGTCCCCCCTCCCTTGCCAATTTTTCATTAGTCCTAGACTAG